CAGGAAAAGAAGAAATATTTGTACTAACAATTCAACATTAACCGACAAAAGACAGCTTACAGAAAAGGCTCATGAAGAAATAAAAAAATCATTACTTTGTGATTACACTTGTTGTTGTGAATGATTCCATGAATTATTACAATACCAGAAACTCTGTGTATTTAAAGAAAGCTTCTAATTCAATATTAATTCAAAAGAAATATCTAAACCATTGATGTTTGAAATTACCCTGATTTCTTCTCATTCATAGCCAGAAAAAAAGTCTGATTTGGAAAGCCAAAGCCCATTACACAACATGCCTGGTCTTATCATTGCAGATTAATTTACAAAGGTGGTCAAGTCAACATGTGTATTTGAATAACAGTAGCTTTCTTATAGATAGAAACTGCTGTTAGAAACAACACATTTCCTACTCCTGCTTAGCTACTCATCTCTAATATGTTATAAAACATTTAAGATTTTTCTTTCAAAAACATTTGTTCCTACATGGCTGTTATAATTATGGTTGGTACAATTAGTTTGCAACAAAGCATTGGTGGCAAATCACTTGTCAAAAAAGCCTCACAGAGCTGAGGACCTCACCTTTGGTAAGACCTAACCCAAGGAAAAAAAAAAAAGAAAAAAAGAAGAAAACCACTATTAAATTCAAAATATGAAACATATTTACCCTACTACCTGTTTTAGTACTGGAAAAAACATATTGAATTAAAAATAAAAAACTTTGCTTTGAGCATCATTAATAAAAAATAACTGAAAGTTTACTCCTAAAGCCTAGAATGTTTGAGTCTGGAGAAATTTTTTTTCAAGTAAGAAAACACAGTTTTTCAATTAGTTTTTGTTGTTTTTTTTTTCCTCTGCCTGCAACTGGTTGTTACTTTGGCTTGCAGAGTTCGAGAGAGTTGGGAGCTGCTCTAATCAATACTTTGCATTCACATAGAAGCAGAGATAACTTGAAATAGTCCGCAGTTTATGTCCTTGTTCCCTGCCATGGAAGGTGAAAGTCTAAATTGTGTTTTTAAAATTACTCAATCAAGGGATAATTGTAGGTTTTACTATAAAGCCTTTTCCAAGACATTATTTGCATCAAACACACCAATACTCTGGGGAAATAAAACTGCTCATCTACATTTCCTAGCTGGATCTCCATTTACACATCTGGGGCTTAGTCTTGCCAACCTTAACATGTGCATAATGATATTCATAGCAGTCTTCCTATCACTAGCAGTAGGAATGCCCAAATGAGTAAATTCATACAGATGATTAAGTGTTTGCACAATCAGGGGTCTTTAAAAAAATCTATTAAGTTTAAATATTTAAAATGCAAGGCAAAGTTCAGGCAGGACAAGACAGATATCAGAGAACAACCTGCAGCATGGCCATCATCTCAGTTTACAGCCATTGTATCTCTCCAGCCTTTTGCTGAATCGATGCTATCCCTGGGGGATTTCCTGGGGGAAACAGGGACCAGAGTTTGGGCCGGATTCCATAAAGCTTGTTTTGCCAAGAGGCCCTTCCAGCAACAGCTTTCACAGAGCTGTTTGTTCTCCTCACGTGATTATGCAACGTCAGATCCTCCATGCTCCCACTGGTGACCCAGGATTGAAATTCCAGGCCCTTATTCAGAAGGAAAGGTAAATACACACTTAACGCTAAGCACATGAATAGTGTTAGTGATTGTAAGCATCACAAAGCAAGATCTTCAAACTTTGGTGCAGGCCTAGGACCTCTGCTGATTTTTTAGAAGTTCTACAGGAGGGTCAATCTGAAGAGAAGAGCACTTTTGTCTATTCTTTTTCCTTTTCTCTCCCCCTTTTTTTTTTTTTTTTTTAAATCAAAGCTCCTGAAATAAGACATATGCACAGGGAAGGCTGTTTTCTTGGGAGATTTTTCTTTAAAAAATCAAGCTCTAGAAATCCCAGTCTAATCTGCAGAGAGAAACAGAATAAAGACAGGAAACTTAGCCATTCTACAGCCCCGCTTGCCCATCCAGCTCAGTACAGAACCATAGGTTTAAAACCTGACTGCTTAGAAACGTGCACAGTGGTGTTTCATAGCACCTATTAAATAACACTGTCTAACGAGCAAGTAGGAAAAAGGACCCATCCATTAAAGATTCAACAGTTGGATCTTGAGTTCTTGGGATAAGGAACCACTATATAAAGCATCCCTCTATCAGACGTAAGTTAAATATATATAAATATATGCATGTGTATATATATTTACACACACACACATACTTACATATGTCCTCCAGGCTTCTTCCCCCATCATTTTTGCATATAATGGAATAGCAGGAGACTACATAAATTCCTAAACATAACTGGCAGAAATCTGAGTACTCCAAGCATATGCATGGATTTTAAACAAAATGCACCTGATGCTTTAATGCTGAAGAAACACACAGGTTTCATACCACAGTAGACAGCATTCAGGCTATGCCTTGCCATAGGCCAAGCTTCCCCCTCCACTTTTGGTCCTAGTGAGGCAAAGCGAGCTCTGAGATTCTTTGCTTAGGCCAGCGTGGGGATTTATCCCAACAGCATGACCAGCAGAGAAGCACCAAGATCAGCACAAGACATGATTTCATTTCGTCAAAGAGGCTTTGCTCTGCATTCTCAAGAAGATTTGGTCTCATTTATTTAAAAATAAAATTTAAAAAGGAAGAAAAAAAAAACACACACAGAAAAAGACTACGCAGGATATCTCAGATGGAGAGAAATGTCTAACTGTCATCATTCTGATGTTTCAGACGCGAGGGAAAAATATTTTCACAACTAGTTTACTGTATAGTACCCTGTAGATACATAATATGTGACAATTATAACAGTTTTTATACTTTATGACCTAGAATTTACTTTAGATCACTAATGAAAAATAAACCCATTCAGAAGACTGCAAAATAATGTGTATAATAACTTGCTTTCGAATGTAAGATGTAAGATTCTTGTGATGGAATTATTTTATCTTTCAAAAATATCTGTAAGAAAATATTATTTTACATACATATATTACACAGTGAAATAAACTTTATCTACACAGTTTCACTACGAAATAAAACAACAGCCGGGCATTTAGTCATCATCTAGATAATCTCAGTTCTGTCTCCCACCAGTCAGTACACAAAAGACCTTCCTTCATTCTTTGGGGGACTATTTCAGGGATCATTTCAGCTGTGAGTGGTTACTGGTTGCTGTAAAAAACCTGTGTACAGACACTCACCTATGAACCCTAGCACAGTTCAGACACAAATAGTTATTTATGCTTTTACAGCGGGATCACGCATCTGTTTGACAACCACAGTAACTCGAGTGCAGGTCAACTGCATATTGAAGAAAAACACCATTAGTACCAACACCTGAGCTAAAGCACTCTAAAGGAGTTTGGGGTTAAATTCTCCTCTGGAGTTGGACATTGCAGAGCCCAAAATTTAGAGGACGGGAATATAGCATATTTTGAATAGTTGCTGTTCTTTTCCTTCTGACATGAGTATGAAGTAAATCTTTCACAGCATAGAAGCGTTTTTTCCTAGACTGTATTTTAGGCAGAAAACACAACAGTAAAAAGCTATTTAGACTGTATTGTCCTCTTATATTCAGGGAAGTTGCTTCGTATTGTCTTAACTAACCAAAGACGCTATCAGCTTATTCTCGAATGACAAAACTCTGCTCTCATCTCAGAGGAGAAAAGGACATAGAGTACTTTGCTATTTGCAGTATAACTGTAAAAAACTGCAGGGACTAATATTTACTATGCCTCAAGTTTGCCTCATACCATTAAGTTTATGATTTAAATGAACTCAAGCTTATTTTCAAGTTCACTTCATCACTATGGTGTCTTAAGGAGCAGGAATTTCACCTTAGAAACTGTCTTTGAATTTGTGTTTGCTCACACACTTAAGATGCTTGGACAAAGATCCAGGAGTGTTTGTATATGTGGAGGAAACATGTTGAACAGATGCCCAGGCTGAGAACAAGTTCAGGGAATATGCAGGGTAGGTAGCACCTTGCTCCCCCACATGCTTAATGAAGGGCTCACCTCGCTCAGCAGCTCTTAAGGCATTTCCTCCCTAATGCTATAGCTCAGCTGTGTACCAGGAAGATCTAGAGGGGGGGTGGAAAAAAAAAAAAGAAAAGAAACAAGGAAACACAAAATTCCTGATTAAGAGGAGGAAATTTGTTTATGGTAAGGAAGGAAAAGAGGAAGACCCAGCCCTTCCATCCTGTGCTCCATCCCAGTGTTTCTTATTGCAGCCCTGTTTACTGTAGTGCAGAACCTGCAATGTTCTCATGGTCAGGGACATCCAGCCCACCCTTTTCAGGGACAGAGGGTCCTTCAATCCTCTCACACATCCTAATGCTCATGAGCAACCTGTTTCTACTGCATCAGCATAGAACAGTTCATGCAAGCTCTGCCCTTTGCTTTGGGGGAAGCCAGGCAGTCCATGCTGAAGGTCCATGTAGCTCAGCCTCTCCCTAGCATGAGTCCCACCACAGATTTCCCAGACAGGATTGCAAGTTCCTGCCTCTCCTGGAACTGCTCAGCAATGAGTGTACCCCTTGCTCCTGAAGCCACAAGACAGAGGAGGAGGTACTCCTCCCACTCACCCACAAGTTCCTTTAAGGTAGCACAGGGCATATCAAAACCATTTCACTTAAATCAGCAGTGATTTTTTTTTTCCAGAGGGGATGGGAAGTGGCAGTCTGAGAAGCCTCAGAAGCCTCACACCTGGAGGTCAGCAGTCTGCTGTAGCCCCAACAGGAGCCATAGCTGAAGGGAAACAGGGGGCACAGAAAGAAAAACCAAAGTCCTCATGCTTCTTTACTACCCCATCTCATCATGCACTCGGAGCTAGGCGACCATATTCAGAAAGTTGTTGACTCCTTCTTGGTAGCATTAACTATCCCTAACTTCTGCTGATAATAAGTTAAAGGCATTTAGCATTCCATAGGGTCAAGCCTACTGGCAGATGGTCAATAGAAAGACTATGCACACAGAGGGAAGAGGTGGGAGCAGAGAGGGGGTAGGATCGCCCTGAGTTTTATCCTCTAAAATAAGTCAGTTTATCATCAAGCACTGAAGGAGTTAAGCACTAAAGCACAGACACTTAATCAGCTTTCCCCCTTCCTTTCACATGTGATTGGAATGAAGCTGCACTGAAGCAGCCCAAAGGGCTTATAACAGCTCAATTTCGCAGCCTTCAGTTTTAATCCCCATCACCCAGCCCAAGCAGCACGATGGTGATGAGGCTGTTACTCCATAGCAGTCCGAGCACCTGGATGATGATCTTCCTCCTCGTCTTCCTCCTCCTCTGCAGCCTGCAGGTGGCTGGAGAGCTCCTGGATTACAGCAGCCCTACCAATTTGGTCATTTCTCCTCTTCTCCATAATGAGGTCCTCAAGGCTCTGAAACTCCAGCGTGTGGCTGCGCTTGTCCCCCAGCCGGATCTGCAATCGGTAGGGCTGCTTGCCTATGCGCAGCTCCCCCCCGATTTTAAACTCCCGCTTGCCGTACCGGCACCAGGCAGCAAAACACTCCGAGTTTCTCCAGCTCAGGTCCCGGTCCTTGCAGCCCACTTGCTCCAGCGCATTGCGCACCACAGCGGCCGGGCTCAGGGGTTTGTAGCGGTACAGCCGGTTGGCGATGCGGCCCCGTCTGCCCTGGCTGGCGTCCGTCAGGAAGCTGTTCACCACCTCCAGCCTGTGCAGGTGCACGACTTGAAAGTCCCCAACATAGACTACCCAGTGCGGGTACTGGGCCTGGCACACAAACTCCACCAAGTCACCTGGTTTGCACCTATTCAGCAGGTTCTCTGGCGTATAGGTGCTCAGGTGCCCCCCACCGCCTTCATCCCCCTCCTCTGGCAGCATATCCTCCTCGGAAAAGCTCTTCTGGTAGATGCACTCATCCCGGTAATACACGGAGCACTCCACCTCATGCAGACGGGGATCATACGGCTGCAAGGCAGGGTGCTCGCCTCCCAGATCGTGTACCGAATCCTGCTGCTGCTCCAGCTCATCGTCGTCATTTGAGAAGATGTAGGACACGCCAATCCTGGGCCCCTCATCCCTGTCCATGCCCGTCGGGTCAGCTGTGGGAACTTCCTTGTAGTTCAGGTGGGTCAGCTTCTCCACCTGGTTCCCCATGCCCGCTGCAACGACAAGCAAGCAGCAGGGCCATGAAGGCAAGAGAGGCAGGAGGTGCCGTGCACAAGATCCCCTCCCCCTGGCTCCCCAGTGCTACAGCACTGCTCCGGGGGGACCCCGGCCTGGGAGAGCCCCTTGTGAAGAGGAAAAAGGGCCCCTGGGCACTGAGGTGGTGACCCAGAGGGACGGCAGGGGTGCGCAGAAGGGCGACCCTCGCCCTCCCACCAGCCCAGAGCGGGGAGGAGAAGGAAGCACCACCACCTGTTAGCCAGCTAGGAGGAAGAGGAAGGCGCGGCAAAAGGAGGTGGAAGGGACAGGCAAGGTGCCCAACCAGACAAGGGGGCCGCGGAGCGCAGACCCTTCTCCTCCTGCCCGCGGTCCCAGTAGGGTAGCGGCGGAGTTGCGCGCTCTTCCCGGCCGCGCGGCTGGCGCATGGTCCCCGCTGCGCTCCCCGCGCAGCAGCGGCGCCCGCACCGCACTCGGGGCTGTGCAACAAGCGCCGAGGGGAAGGAGGCTGGATCCGGTGCGAACGCCCCAGCGAGCGCTCAGCCCCCAGCATTTAAAGAGCCAGCTCTTTTTTTTTTTTTTCCCCCTCTCCTTCTTTTCCTCCATCCCTCCTCCCTTTTCCCTTTCCTCCTCCCCGCACCTTTTCCCTCGCCTCTCTCCTACATGCTAGGCGCTTTGCTCCCCTCCGAGGACGATTTGCAAGCAGAGGTCGGCCGGGAGGGCTTCGGCGCCGCGACTGCAACGCTCCGCGCGTCGCCTGGCTGCGGGAGCGTGTGTGTACACACGCAGAGATAAATATCTCTGTATACACACACACACACACATATATATACACACACATATATATATACACACAAGCACGGGGGAGCTGCCGCGCCTCTGTTCCTTTAAGGCAGCGGGGCCACCCAGCAGCCCGGTTCGGGCCGGGGTGTGCCGGGGACGGCAGCGGCCGCGATGCGGAGCCCCGGGCGCCGCAACCGCCCGCGATAAGCGGGTCCCCCCGCGATAAGCGGGAAGTTGTAAAGCGAGAAGCGAGCAAAAGCAACGGGCCCGGCTCTCTGGGGCTGACTTCGTGCCGTGGATTGCACCGTGAGCGAAGCGTGAGATTAGTTTTATTAATTTGCCGACTGCAAGAGATCGCGCTTTTTTTTTTTTTTTGTGTGTGTGTGTGTGTGTGTGTGTGTGTTTGTTTTTCCAACATAGGAGATTATGATTCCCTCTAGAAAGGAATTTTCAGAACTGGTGGGACTATTTTTTCTTTCTGGGTTTTAGAGAACACAAAACAATATTCTGCTTTTTTCATTAATGCCTAGTTAATCTATTAGGTGGGTTTATTTTTCTCACTATTTTCACATGTACTGGTAAATCCATGCTGTTAAAATAGACTTTGCATGGAGGATTTATGGGAGCTAGGTGTAATGCCTTTAATTTTGTCTCATTTATTCCCTTTGTCTATTGTCTCGTAATTTATAAACCCAACTGTGTGCTGCTGTTCGGAGGATTCACGAAACAGCAGCAAGTGAAGGAACAAGCGCAGTGTTACCAGGGTGCTGGGCACTGCCTATGAACTCAAAGAATACAATTTCCATCGGATTACACGCCTCCGTGGTTTCAAATATAGACCTGCCCTTCGGGGGTGGGGAGAATAGCTGCTACTCCACGGAGAGGAGCTCTGTGCTCGCCCTGGGATGGTGGGACACGCTCAGCCCCGGCGGAGGTGACAGGTGGCTGGATCGAGACCTGTTTGTTTTGAGTTCAGCTGCTGGCTCTGTCTACAGCAGCGTTGCAGTTCGCATCGGGAGTGCACTTTTGGAGTGGATTTCCCAACCCCCTACGCACGCTTTGCTTTTGCATCCAGAGTGTTTTCAAAAACTGCAAACTGGATTCCTTCCCTATTAAACTAAACCAGATATACTCCAGCTACAGCATGAGACTAAAGCTAATGTAGTAAACCTCCAAATCACCTAAAAATGCCACATTTTCAGTACTGCTCATTTCGCTCTACGGTTCCTGTCCTGCTGCATTACGTGTTGATATAGATATAGCTGGTGTTGGACAAAAGAGGGCCCTACTTCTTAATCAGAGCTTTGTGAAGTTGCTTCAGGAATTAAGGAATTAAATGTAAAGGTGACAGTCTGTTAAGAGGAACTGACCTGAACACAGAACTAATTTTTTAGTATTTTCCCTTTGTGCCAGAAGCTGTGTCTCAAACCATACTTTACTATCTTTTGAACAATTATATTTCTTTGCTAAAATGGTTAAAGGCTAAGTTTTGTTGTTGTTGTTTTTTGTATCTTCTGCAATGTGTGTAAAGTTGTGTCTGTGCAGAAATACAAACTCAGTGTTGCTCAGAAGAGTCACTTATGCATATATGCATATCTACACTTATTTGTAGCTACTCTGTCTTATTCTCTCACTTCTTCCTGTCTGCTTCAGCTCACCCCAGTGATTAATTTTCTACACCTTGTCAGTTGCTTTGATCTCTTTGATGTCTTTGAGTTTTCTTTCAGTGACTGCTATACAAAGCCCATATTCTCTGATCAATTTCCTACTTTCTAAGATCAGAAACCATAGGCTAGTATTTTTGTGTCATAAAACACATACATGATGGTATATTGCACTTGCAGATATGGAATTGGGGGGAAGATCCACAAAAGGCTTTTATCACCTATGTATCAGTTGATGTCCAAAATTAAAAACTTTTGCATGCTTAAGCTCTGAGCTAAACTCCACAGGCCTTTCACAAGGGATGGGGGTGGAAGTGTTATCTTTCCTGATGACTTTGCTTTTAAAGTGAGCATTGACCTCTTGCACCGCTTTTGAAGAAAGAACTTTGGTACTTAGCTGCCAGAGGTTATCTGATATGTGGACCTGCAGTAGAGGCAGGAACTGGAGGCAGCGCTGAGTAAGGAGCCCAAACTGGAGTAGGGCAGAGTTGAAGACACACCTCTGCCCTTGCTATTGGAGGTTTATGGATTAAATCACTCCTTATTCAGTGTGTGCCAGTGTACGCTGGCTTTTGTAATCCAGTTTAGAGCTCTTCAGCTCTGTGCATATACCGCAGAGGGAACCAAGGGCTGTGGACACCGTTGTTTTGACTGTACCTACTGAAGGCAATGGGGATACCCACACTGTCAATGCAGATTACTCCCTCAGTGTTTCTCTTAGCACCTCAGGGAGATCTGCGGATCCCAGCTGAGCCTCAGTCACTTGGTCATCCAGACAGCATAAGAATTAGATAATATTTAGGAGTGAATCACTTCCAAACAAAAAACAGGTGTGATTTGGGGGATGGTTCTTTCCAGAAAACTCTTCCATGCATATTTCTCCCCAAACAACAGGAGTAAAGCTACCTGAGGTATACCTCTCTGTGCTCTACACAGGTCTCCAAAACTTTGCCAGCTGACTTTGCACTTGTAAGCACATCTCTATGCTCTCAAGCTACTGTTGAGCACAGCAACTCCAATTTCATGTCTTAAAAATAACATCCTAGTGGTTTGCAACATTGGCCATATGTTATTTCAGATGTTTGAAACTTTAATTTCTCATAATTTGAAATTGTACTTTTCATTTTAGGGCCAAAAAGATCTGTCATGGTTCAGGGCTTTGAGGAAAACCAGAATTGTGTGGTTATATAGGCCTTTGATGTTTACAGTCTGTACAGGATACTGTACTCCTTAGCTTAGCTACTACATGGATCATCCCTGCAGCAGGCATATTTAGCAGTCTGTATCACTATGTAGCTGATATGATCCAGGTATGCTCTGGTATCTTAAAACTTACACTTTATAGTTTTGAGAATTAGGCACCTAAATTATTTTGTTGCTCTCCTACTATCTTATCTCTAACTTTACACACATCTGATCAGAAAATAAAAAGATAATATTGATTTGAAATCATAATTCCTGCTTACTTGGATGTGGAGTGTTGTACTCCTAGCTACTGAGAAATATTCACAATAAAAAGAAATATATTTCTTTATATGTCTATATTTTCTTCTTAGAGAGCAGACTTCTGACTAAAACAAGGATTAGTATCAGATTCTCTAAGCATGTTACGTTTTGCTGATTTTCACCCAACTGATGGTTATGACACCCTTGAATTATTTAATGGATTCTATTTCTTTTTTCAGTAGTTTTATAAGAACAGAGATAAATTATGCTTCATTTGGCATAGAAGCGTTATACTGCATCATAGCCCTATCAGACCAGAGTGCTTAAACACCATGGTGGAATTAGGGGCACTTGGGGATTAAACCACTTCCTAGTGAGGTTTGAGTTCTGTGAAACTTAATCATGCTGAGGTAAGTGTGTGACTTGAGAGCTTCTTCCTGGATGGTGCCTTTCCATGATTTTCTAGTGAATTGGAGCTGAATCCACAAAGACGGTTCGGATTCTGAATCGTAACATCTGATTTGTTTTGGCTCTTTGCCCTTGGGTGGGATCCTCAACCCTCAGTCAGGCACCAAGGTATTGTAAAATAGAGAATGTCACCTAAAATAAGATTCAAAGCGGGCATGCATATGCTAGCTTGTAGAGAATAGTACAGACAGGAATAGTTAGAGTGCTAATAGTTGCTGAAAAGTTATATGTCCTTTCACTCATGATACAGAATCTAATATTCACCCAAGGTCAAATGCTTTTAAGGATTTGGTCATTTCTCACACACAAGAAGAAATGGTGCTGCCTCGGTTCCTTGAAAGGAACCTTAATAGATCAGAGAGCTTCCCTGGAGTATCAGAGACCAAGGTTGAAGAATCTCATCTCACTGAAGGTAAGTTGAACCCTTATCTCCCAGGAGAGTACAAAAACCACCAGGCTGTAGGCTATTTTTCAGTGAGGGTTCTCAGTCAGTCCTACTGAAGCCATTCAGCTTTGCATGGACTCATTAAATATCTATTCAATCAGTGAGAAAACAAAGAAAAAAGACAATGGCTCCATAGATTAGATACAGGTAGGGCCTAAGACCCACCAAAAAGTTTTGTTTTTAGGACCTGCTTATGGGAGAGTTACGCTCGTGTCTTCTCAGACAGGGAAGTGATTGAGTCTCTGGGTCTCACAGCTGCTACCAGACACCGACTTGTGTTGATTCTGTTGGGTTAGAGCCCTTCTGTACATCTGACCTGGTCTTATGACAAACCTAATCGGGGACATGCCTAGTCTGTGACTTGTGCTGGAGCTTATTCATGAAATAAGCACAGAGCTATTCTACCCTGCCACAGTTTGTGTCCCCAGAAGAAATATTAGGAACCTAGATAACCAGAGAATTCAAGAATCTGTTGTTGAAAAGCTGACATATATCATGAGAATCTTGGTATTTCAGATATTTGATGTTCATGATATTTGATGTAATATGAGAAATACAGTGAGCCCCTAAGTGTCCTGAACTGACACCTAGATGTTTTATCTGCATTGAGCCTATAACGCTTAATGTCACCAATGAGAAGCAATGAGAATATCTGTATGATTTAAAACGTATGATCTTTGGTGTCCAGCATAATACAGCTTGCCACACCATACAGGAAACATCTGAAAGTGAGGCGAGTTGCAAATCCCAGAGATCTGCAACTCTAGAACAGAGACCAGAAATTGTAATTGCCGTGTTTATCACATCAGCAAACTTTGTTTTTTTTTTTTTTTTCCTAAAGCTCTTGCTGGAAGCTTATGACTCTGTTAACTACTTTCAACACTGTAATTTGTGACTAAATGTGATCTGTGACAAAAAAAATTGCTG